AAAAAAAGATCTAAAGACTGAAGAGGAAAAAAGAGGTTTGTAATTGATTATAAGCCTCTCAATGCCTTCTTGTAGGATGACAAGTTTTCTCTTTCAAAAATCAACACTTAGCTAGTCTATTTAGAGCTAGCCAAGATGTTTTTAAAGTTTGATCTCAAAGCGAGATTTTGGCAATTAAGAATTGATCTAATTGAATGTTACAAAACAACCTTCTGCATTCCTATTGCTTAATACTAGTGGTCAGTTATGCCCTTTGGACTTAATACTAGCCCATTATAGCCCATCACTATTTTAAAAGGCCATGATCTATATCATTGAGCTTATCGTTAATAGCACCTTAGTCTATGTTGATGATATCTTGCTATTCTTAAAAAATGACCATGAACATAAAGACCTGCTAGCCAATTCTACAAGATAATACAACAATATGGGATTATACTCTCAGCTCGTAAAGGTCATATTGGTATAGTCAGATATAATTTTTGGGAATGATTATCTAAGACAGACAGTACTAGCCCAACCTACATATTGCTTAGGAACTATTTAATTTTTCAAATGAAAACTTATCTAGAGCTTAGATTCAACAATTCTTGGGAATTGCGAACTACATAAAAGACTTTGTCCCTTAGGTGTTAAATCATACTAGCCAATTGTCTAAATTATTGTGAAAAAATCCACCGTCATGGGAAATCAATCAAATTAAAGCTGTCCAGCACTTAAAGCAGAGTGATGATTATTAGAGAGCAATACTCATTGAAGAAGATAATGGGAAAAGATACTATCGTGGTCATGCTAGTGGAGCATTCAAACTCTCTAAAAAGAATTATCATAGCCTACAAGAAAGTTCTAGTTGTGAAACGTGACATTGAAAAGTTTGGCTTTTATCTTAGCCCCTACTACTTTGTGGTAGAAATGGATAATATATTTTCCTAAAGATTCTTGATCAAAGCAAAAAGGTACTCCCTAAAGCTTAAATTCTATGATAGAAAGACTGATTTTCTCAGTTGAAGAAAACCACAACACCATTATAGACTACCTCACTAGACCTCAGGAAAAGATTAGCCTCATAACACTCTCACACAACCAACCTCTCTTTATTCTCAACATTATGCCTATACAACTAGTTTTGCCACCTCATTTTAATCCTAATATTGTTCCTAAAATCCATTTGCTAGTTAAAAGAAGTTTATTCTTTTAGCTCTACCTTTTCCCCTAGAATACCCATATTCAACCACAGCTTGAATTCTTTGATATTTAAACCCCATACCTAGCTATACCTTATATTAGAAGTTCCATACCAGATGAAGCCATGTGGTATCTTTGGTCACTCTCATCCCTCTATGTATATGTGTTAGCCTTCCTATCTTTAATTATTTATCATTACCTTTATGACTCTGTTCATGAAGATTTTAATCTCTGATACTTTCTTAAGTGGTTCTCACCATTACCTTGTTGGCATAAGAAACTCTCTTAGGTGATTGAAAATTATGGTTTATGGAAGATATTTTTGAATCAACAAAAGGCTTACTCCTTCTTTGTTGTTCATCACCTAGATAGCCATAAAAGGCTTTATCTTGCTAACCAAACTTGTCTATGAAAAACCTCAATTAACTGGCCATCACATAAAAAATTAGTCTTATCTGAGTTAAGAGATTTTTTATGTGAAAAGAATAATTTCCCAAGCATAGATCCTAATATCAGATGCACATCTCTAGGTCTTATTCCTCATCAACCTATCATTCTTGATGATGTATCCTAATTAGTACAATACCACCACCCATAATTGCTTTCTAACATTGTTGTTCAACGAGGTTACTTAACATGATGGATTCACATGTAACACCATCTTCTCAAAGTCTAACAACTCATTTAAGCCTTCCTCCTTCAGATATTCAAAACACTTAAAAGCTAAAGTCCTAGTACTGTCGATAGGTCTAAGAGACAAAAGACTTTTTTACCTTTAGGCCATTTAAAGAACAAGAGGATATGGATGAAGACTTCAATAAATAATAGGTAGAAAGCCTTTCAGCTTGATGGTTTAAAAAAGAGATCCCTCAATTTGTCTTCTAATCAAGAGTGCATACACAAGCGTATGAGGTGATTGGAATCCTATCATCAATCATAAGGGGAATATGCTTTTTCTTTAATTAAGTTTGTCTTTATGTTACGTGTGAGAATCTATCAATGTCACCTTTATTTTTAAGTCACATTTGCCAAAAGTAACTTTTACTTTTTGACAAAATTATTTACTTTAGTCAAATTAACTTTAGTAAAGTTGTTTTTATTTATACGTCTAGTCATATCTACCTTTACTTTTGAAAAAGCATGTATGCATGTCATCTTGTAATAATTAGTGTGCTGTCTTGCCTCTCCTCCCTTCACCTATAAAAGGGAGTGTCAGTTGTATTGTAAACTAGAACTCGTTTAATATCAGTTTGAAGAAATAAAATTGGTTTGTTCTTTACCATGTTTCTCTTCTAAACTCTCTCCTCTCTCCTGAAAGCTTAATTCGGCAATAACTTATTTATGTTGTACAAAGATTCAAGTATAATCTACACTTGCCTCTTTGAGGAACCTGTGTATTAGAATGAATTCAATCACAATCCATGAGTGTGAGTCCATGTTACTACACTTAAAAATCCATAGGTTGAAGTGTCAAGGGATTGAGGATTCTAAAGTGGTTCGAGTTTGCCTAAGAGAGAATGCCTTTTATAGATCAATATGCCTTGAGATGCATAAACACAAGAATCTCGGGTCTAGGCGCGCATGATAAGGTAGAGAATTATTTTTACATTAAATTATTAGTTTCAAATGTTGACATATCAAGTTTAATTTTTTTTAATATTAATGATTGGTACAAAAAATAGCCATTTGAAACTAATAATTTTAGGGTCAAGGGACTGAAAATACTTTATAAAATTAAAAGATCACATTAAAATCTTATATGAAGTTAAAAGACCAAAAGCATATTTTAGCATTGCATATTAATTATTCATTTTGAATCAAAATATAGGGTATTGATAATTAATTTCCAATTTCAAAAAATGTCAGTTTAAACTTTAATCTCTTAAATTTTTTTACATATTTTTAATTATATTCTCATTAAATATTGTATATAAGAATCTTGATAATAATAGTAATTAAAATTTAAATGTGCCATTTTTCCTAAAAAAATAATAAGTGCATAGGTATAATTGAAAAGAATAACTATAAAAATTACTCGATATCTTATATTTTGAATAAAGCAAAACTAAAAGATGCCATATTTGACAATATATATTTTGAATATAATTTTTACAAATATTTTCTTAATTTTTTTAAAATTCATATTATTATATCTACAAATTTTACAAATTTTAATTTGCAAATTATCTTAAAAAAAGTGCCCCAAAAGTATATTGCATATTTTCTCATAATAACAATATTTTTAAGGTAAAAATTAAAATTTGCTTTAAAAAAAGGATTAATGAGCAAAATAGACCCTAAAGTATTGTTTGAAAAGCGCTTTCAACCTTAAACTCTTAAAATGTGTAAAACCTAAATTTTTAAATTCATAGCAAAATAAACTCTGACCTTTAAATTTTTAAGTTAATGCTGATGTGTCATAGTGAATTAGCGCAACAAACCCTAAATTATTATGTTAGTAACGTTCTGAACCCTAAACTATTAGGTTAGTAATATTTTAAATCCTAAACTTTAAAATTTTAAGCAAATCACCTCTACTGTTTATGTATAAAATGTTGATATTATATAAATTAAATTAGCCTTAGCATGGTTCACTGCGGTGAATGCATCATTGATTATGGCAAATGAACTATAATTTTGTGAAATAATGTTTTTTGCCCCTTTCTTGTAACATTTTTCAAACGATTGGTATCTTATGCTTTCATATATTCTAGAACTCTAATTTAGTCCTATTTTGAATAATGTTTAGTTAATGGTGAAAATTTGAGATTTCATTTAAAAAGAAGTTTAAATATCATAGGATTTTACAAATAATGGATGCGAAAGCCAATGATTTCATCAATGAATTTAAAATTCAAATTAATCATTTAATTAAAATTATCTAATATTTAAACTTCTTTTCAAAATGGATTCTAAGTTTTCACCATTAAATAAATAAACATTATTCAAAATAATATTAAATTAGAGTTAGAGTATATGGTAGCATGAAATACAAATTGTTTGGAAAACAATGCAAAAAAGGGGACCCAAAAAATCGTTTCATAAAATTATTGGTCATTTGCCGTGGCCAACTATGCATTTACCGTGGCAAACTATGTTGAAATTAATTTGACCTACGTAATAGTTAACGTTCTATACATAAATGGTTGAGATAATTTGTTCAAAATTTTAAAGTTTAAAATGTAAAATGTTATTAACATAATAATTTAGGATTTACAAGGCTACTAACATAATAGTCTAGGATCTGTGGCACTAATTGATAATGACACGTTAGCATTAACTAGGACCCACAATAAACAGCAACGGTGTTGAAAAATTTAACAGTTATAGTTTATTTTATTACAAATTTAAAAATTTAAAATTTATTTTATATATTTTAAGAGTTTAAGATTTTAAACAATACTCAGGATCAATTTTGCTCATTAATTCTTAAAAAAATTGATAATTGCCAATTTAAGCTCAAAATGTCAAGATCAAGTTAAGTAATATGATTTTGTTTTTTTTTTTTTTGGGGATAAATTCAAGCTTGTCCCAACCAACTTGAATGGACTTGAGTCGAATTAAACACACTCTGAATGACCAGCCCTCCTGGTGTGAGGTAGGGTTTAGTCAGGATTAGATAGGGTAGACAATAGATTCAACTTCAATTATAAAACCATAACAATGCATAATGCCCAACCATGTTGCCGATGTGTTGTGCTCTGTTCCTCACTTGCCTCTTATAAATTTCAGCCACTTCAATTGATGTATGATATGATTCTATAACAGTAGCATCTCAAATAACTTAAAACGGTATCCAATATTAATCACATGCGTGGAAACAATGGTTCAATCGATAGAAAGATTGGCAAATATACATCGGTAGTATAAAATTAGTTGATAGATTATGATTGCTTTTTTAAAAAAAACAAAAAACAAAAAACCCCCTGGGGACAATCCAAATATGACTATAATTCACAAACCCACAAATTGCCAACAACTTTGACATCCCCCAAAGCTAAGTGCTCGGTTGGCAGAAGAGACCTTTATGAAAATCCTAGATACCAGGATGAGAAGAAACTCGCTCCTCGAACTCCCTGATTTCATTCCAGATAAGCATCATCAACACGCTCCACAAGACCAGAGCTAGCACTTGAATCATGTTCTGCACCCTGTTAAACAATTTATAGAGAAACAGCCAACTGGGTGAGCCAATGAAAGATTGGAAACATATTCTTCTAATAAATGTTTCTGTAGAGAAACTGAACCATTAATTTTACCAGAAACATTGATGGCCATCAGCAAACCTCATGAACGATCTCCATTGGACCTTGTTCGGGTCAAGCGTCGCCGTCTTCTTGGTACAGGAGATGCATCTTCACCTGCATCACTAAATATGCGCAAATCTTCACCAGCATCATGACTGTCATGAAGACCCAACAAATTCTCGCCCCACAGATAGCGTCGGTCAGAAGAACCTCCTGCTGGTCGACGATACCTCGTCCATGCTCTTGAACGAGGCCTTGGCTCCCGCCCATTTTCAATTGAACCAAGCATCTGAAACAAGAAGAGGGTTGTCCACCACGGCCCACCATTAGAATCGCCCATGCTGCCTTCTCGATCACTTGAGAACCTGCCATCTCCATTTTCAATGACATAATCACCCACAACCACAGCACCAGGCATGGCAGACCGAACAGCACTAACAATATCACCATATTCCCTCTGTCGTTCAAGATGTCGCCAGGCTCTTACCCTTGAAGGATCAACATCAGAGGGACGGGTTGTTGGGTGAACTCTCCTAGCATGCCGACGCAATTCAAGATAATTACCAACAAAAGAGCAAGATTCCCTTGAGCAACTTCTCTTCTTCAAATTGAGATAATTTCTTGCCTCTTCAACCACCTCCCAACCCAGCACTGTTCCTCGACATAAGGGACATTTCAAGCTCAATTTTGACTCGGATGAATTATCCACATCTAACTCCTCATGCTCAGCCCTGTCCTGCAAGGTCTCAGAATCAACAGTTTCTAAAATGCCTTCATTAGGTGAGTTGAAATGTCTACTTGGATCTTGAACATCACCCTGTCTTGATCCTCGAAGCAATCCAACAGACAATACAGTATTGATTTCAATTTGGTGATTTTCATTACCATCATTCAAGTCAGGTTGCATATTGAGATTAATATCAGAACTATTACCAGAGTTGTTTGTGTTTACTAAAGAACTGGAAAAATTTGAACTGTCCTTAGAATTGGCCTGCATTTTTTTAAACCGGTCCAAGCAATTTGAATGCCTATAACTTGTATCACAGATGTAAGATCTGCAGCCCTTTTCGTAAGAGCTGCAGTGAAGGACAACAGCATTATGTGGATGATCCATGCAAATAGGACATGAAACTTCATCCAATTCTTTGTGAAGAGCATGGATATCTGAATCACTATACAATCTTCGCTTAACACCAGTCATCTTCCACGCACAGTAATAACTACTAACAATATTAAACTAATCAGAACAGCAGATGATGCAGGTAACCAACCAAATATTACTTTCATTATTCAGAACGTGAAAACATGCCAGCTAAATATGAGACATTCTGACATACAAATTAATAGTTAATAAATTAAAAAAATTTAATATAAAACAGGAGAAAATCATTTAAAAACACATTTGGTTGCACAAACAAGCAGAAAAAGTATGGTTAGGAGAGTAACAAAACACAAAACTGGAAACGACTGGCTCAAGTCCCATCACATACGTTGGTCCTACTAAGGATATTTTGGGGGTGATTCAGTAGGTAGGTGAATGCACCAAATCCAACTACTAGAGATCATCTTCACCAATGAATACAACTCATCTAGGATTTTCATATGTTGGATTTCTAGAGACAATATCATCATAATTGGGGGGCAGGCAATAATCTAAGGTTCTTACATGTTAGTCTTGCAATGCCAATACTTTTCAATTATTAATCAAAATGTAGAAGTATATTTGCTTACCTTTTCTATTCCTGGACATCTTAACACAAAATCTACCATTAATTTTTTTTTTTTTTTTTGCAGGCAATAGATAAAAAGGAAAACTCTGCCTATGCTTTATAGCCAGTCCCAAACCCAGATAAAAGAGGAGGGTTGTGTTAAGCTCTCAATAATCAATGTAAAACTTTGTTGAATCACACATAGATACAGACAATAAACGTTTCTGTACTAATGCTAGGTCGCTGCTCGTAAGTAATGCGCTGCATGGCTTGAGTACAGTGATAAGTGAGTTAGAGCCGCTGCAGCTATGCCCGGATGTAATGTTAAATGAACAAGGGTTACTGCATTATCCTAGATGAGCGCGGCTAAAGAAGTTAGTTCATGTGAGCAAGATTAGACTTGGTATTTGAAATGTTGGAACCTTGACTGGTGAATCTATAAATGTGGTAGGAGTTATGATTCAAAAAAAAATTAATATTTTGCGCTTGCAGGAGACTAAATGGGCTGGTGAACAAGCTAAGGATATCTAAGGTTTCAAACTCTGGTATATTGGGAAATTAAACACATGCAATAAGGTGGGTATCATTGTTGATAAAGAGTGTAAGAAAAATGTGGTATAAGTTAACAGAATTGACGACAAAATTATTTCATTAAAATTGATCATCGCACGGGAGACTATCAATATTGTTAGCGCTTATGCACCTCAAGTTGGGACAAAAGCCAATCTTAAAGAATTATTTTGGAAAGACTTGGAGGGGTTGATCGAAAGCATACAACATAATGAAAAGATTTTTATTCGAGGAGACTTTAATAGACAAGTCGGGAGGGAGGCAGGTCATTATATGAGGGTGCATGATGGTTTTGGTTTTAGAGAACTAAATAATGAAGGACAACATATCTTTGATTTCTCTTTAACCTATGATTTCAAGATTGCTAATACTTGTTTCAAGAAGAGGGATGAGCATCTCATCACTTATAAAAGCAAAACTTCAATGTCATAGATTGATTTCTTTTTGGTAAGGAACGCAGATAGAAGACTTTGTAAAAATTGTAAGGTGATTCCTGGGAATGTTGTTACGATACAACACTGGATCCTTGTCCTTGATATATGTATTATGAGTAAAAACCAAAAGCGTCGACAAGTTATAAATCCAAGGATTAGGTGGTTGCAATTAAAAGGTGAAAAGAGAGAAATTTTCAAGAGAAATCTCTTGGTCGAAGGAATTTGAGAGTCTCGAGAAAGTGCTAATACCTTGTGGGAAGACTTGGCCATGAAGGTAAGGAAGGTTGCAAAAGAAGTTTTGACAGAATCAAGAGGTTTTGGTTTGAGAGATAAGGAGTTTTGGTGGTGAAATGATAACGTACAGGAAAAAATCAAATATAAGTAGGAGTGCTTTAAAGCAATCTGTTTGTGCAACAATGATGAAAATTGAGAAAAGTATCATATGGCTAAAAGGAAAACTAAGAGGACTGCGAGTGAACCTTGTTCTAAAGCTTTTGAAGAGTTTTATAATGGTTTTAAAAAAAAGGATGAAGAACGAAAAACTTATAAGATTGTTTAGAGTAAGGAAAGAAAATCAAGAGATTTGTAATAAGTTAGACATATAAAGGATGAAGAGGGAAATGTTTTGATCATAGATAATGATATTAAAGACAAATGGAAGACATACTTTTCAAAACTTTTCAATGATGATGGGGGGTCATCAATTAACTTGGAAGATTTAGTAACTTCTGAAAGAGAGCAAAATTTGTCATTTGTTCAAAGAATATGAGCTTGAAAAGTGAGAAAAGATCTCAAGAAAATGACAAATGGTAAAGCCAATAAACTTGATTGTATCCCTATTGAAATGTGAAAATGTTTGGGTGAAAAAGAAGTGCAGTAGTTAACTAAGTTATTTAATGAGATCTTACAGTCTAAGAGAATGCCAGATGATTGGAAGAGAAGCATCTTAGTTCTTATTTATAACAATAAAGGAGATATTCATAATTGTACTAACTACAAAGGGATTAAAATTATGAGTCATACTATAAAATTATGGGAAAGAGTGGTTGAGCATAAGTTGAGATTGGAAATTGAAATTTCGAAAAATCAATTTGGCTTCATGCCAGAGAAAGTGACTACAGAAGCAATTTATTTACTAAGGAGACTAATGAAAAAGTATCGATGTAAAAGTAAAGATTTACATATAATTTTCATTGATTTGAAAAAAAACTTACGATCGTAAACCGAAAGAAGTACTTTGGAAGGCTTTGAAAAAGAAGGTTTCCAATTGCCTATATTCGAGCTATAAAAGACATGTATGAGAGGGCAAAAACTAGCATAAAAACACTTTGTGGTGAAACAAAAAATTTTCTTATAAAGATTGGATTGCATTAAGGATCACTTTTAAGCATATTCAAGGGAAAATTTCTAAAAGCGTGTTTTTTGCAGATGATATAGTTCTTACTGCCAAGACAAAAGAAGAGATAAATTGTAAGGAAGACATTGAAGTCAAAAGGTTTCTGCCTGAATAGGAGTAAACCAGAATATTTATATTGTAATTTTGATAAGACGTCATATTTATATTGTAATTTTGATAAGACGTCAATAAGTAGTAACTTGAAAGTGAAATTGGGTGATCAGACCATACTTCAAGTGAAAAAGTTAAGATATTTAAAAGCAATTATTCAACAAAATGGAGATATTGATAGAGATATTACAAATAGGATACAATCGGAGTAGTTTAATTGAAAAAAAGCTAAAGGAGTTTTGTGATCGTAAGTTACTTGATAAGCTAAAAGGAAAGTTTTATTAAATTGTTGTAAGACCAACAATTTTATATGGTAATGAATGTTGGGCTTTGACGAGATAGCAAAAACATAAAGTTGGAATAGCAGAAATGAAAATATTGAGATGCATGTATAAATATACACGTAAAGACAAAATTTGAAATGAGCGAATACAAGAAAAAGTAGGTGTGGCACCTATTGAAGAAAAAATGGTAGAAAATCGCTTGAGATAATTCAAACATGTATAAAGAAGATCACTAGAGGCACCTGTGAAAAAAGTGAAACAGATGACTTTAAACCCTGTCAAGAAAGATAAAGGAAGACCGAAGAGAACACTTTTGAAGGTTATTAAGTGAGACCTTTAATTAATAATATTTCTAAAAACTTAATAAATGATAGAACATAATGGCGGTCATATAATCCATGTAACCGACCCCAACTAGTAGGATAAGACTTGTTGTTGATGTTGTTGTTGTTGTAATAGATAAAAAGGAAACTATATTGGCCAACTAAGCTAACTGCTGATGACCAGAAAAAAACTATTAACCAAACCTTAAGATAATGGGCGAAAAAGCTATGCTCTCCAATGTGACAAATACAGGGTTCAAAACTATAACTTGATAACAGAGGAGACAGAAACGTATTAATTCCTTGTAAAGTTTAGCAGCCAAGAACCGATGGCTTACTTGGATTCAAAATCATATCAGACACCATGTCCAATGGAATAATGGAACATATAACATCAATATAGATGGCTTTTTCGTACAAAACAATAAACGGAGTACAAAAACAAATGCAAGATAATACTTAATTCAAACAATTCAGTGCTTCCAACACAAGATACAATTCGTAAAATTCTACTATAAACATAACTTACCAAGAGAACAAGCTTTAGTTATTTCCCTACTGAAGGCTTCCGAGTCTCAAACTGTATTTACAGAATCTTACTTGACTTCACAAAAGAATCAACCCTCAAGCAATGCTCCGATGCACGTTAAATAATAATGAAGTAATGTATACTAAAAGCTTTGGCAAATATATAATTAACGAACACCTCTGCACAACAGAATCACCAACTAGCCCCAAATTCTGCAGGTTTGACACCAGAAGGGAAGAAAAAGAAAAGTTTTAGCAACACAAGATATCAATCTAGCAAATCTCAAGAAAGCAATAATAAGAAAAAAGAATCATCAATGGGCAGGATTAAACTGTTTCTTTAACTTAAAATTTCTCTTTGACTGTGCTAACTGTACAAAACTTTGCTATTTAAAAAGATCAAATGAGATTCACCACCAACCCCAAAAAATCGGTGAAAAAATAGATGTTGTAGTATATAGGGGGGCCACCAAATAATCTCATTAACTTATTTTGCATGGCACCTAAGTTATTATACTGTTTGGAAAATAATTATAAATACTTTCAAGCGACCTAGAAGATTGCAGAAATGGACGATCGCCACGGAAGGTAGGGTTAGTAAAGATGACTTCTTCCTGTCTAATCAAGTGTCCTATTACAGAACTTTAACATCTAGCAAGAATTTGTTTTGCAAATTTATAAACAGTCTCAGAAATCCTTTGAAATTCTCTGGATAAAAAAGTATTATCTGCTGTGACTATTAGAGTTATAATAAACAATCAAATGTTGAACAAGAAGATATAAGGTCTTAATTTTCTTCCTGATTGGCCAAATATAGAATATTAAGCAGAACACTCTCTCGGTCTCTCCAAAACTAGGTCGATCATAAGGAAAACAACAAATTTCGCGAGAAAAAGCAAACAATAAGATGTCACGGCAATATCAAATTTACATGGATACATCATCATCTGATATATTGATATCGATGTGGATAATCGCACGAGCTAGACACGATATAGCACCGATAACGTTTCACCTTTCAACAACCAAAGGAGGCCGTGAAGAAAATAGCAACTGTTCACCATCCGACCGCGAAACAAAAATAAAAGTGTGAAACAATGCAAAGACGATGGTAAAGCTTAAACGAAGCCGCCAGAGGCAGATGATAAGCAGAGTTCTAAAATTCATCAAGATCCTAGGAATTGTCGCATAAGGTTCCCAACCCCAGATCAATATCCAATCGCCATAAACAAGGAATGAAAACCTACCCAAACCCTTAAATATTCAAATCGCATAAAAATCAAAGAGTAAACAGCACGACAAGGGGAAAAAATCAGAGACACCAATTGAGAGTGCGATCAAACTCAATCAAGATCCGAAAACATATATTAGAAAAGACAAACAAAATTAATTATTTAGTAGAAGTGAAGTCGGGTATTTACGAAGAGGGTTTGAGAGTTTTTTTTCCTCTGGGGTTGGTCTCCGCAAAGATTGCGTGGAGGAAATGCCACAGATACAAAGAAGGCAAAAATATTTGAAATTGAAAGGCAAAGCAAAGAAAGCAGAGACGCGAAAAAAGAGGATTTATACTGTTTTGAGAAGGCGGAAGAGTGGGACCCAAGACAGAGGACTCAGCGGCCACAACCGCCTCATGGTTGAGGTCCTTGGCTAAGGTGGTTTCTTCGTGTGGAAGGCCTGGCACGGGCATTGAGTGGTTTGGTCATTTTTAATGTTATATTAATGTCCCTAATATTTTTTAAATAAAATTTATTTGCCTTAAAAAAAAAAACTCAAATCCATGTAATTTCAATTTTTAACAAAAAGCTAAATTAAATTTGAATCCAATAAAAAATGGGCGAATCACGTTTAAAATAAGAAAATGAGAATTTAATTCTATGAAGCATAATGACAACAAAATCCGAGAAATTTCTTTAATGTTAAATTTCTGTATCAAATTATTTTAGTATTCATCTACAATTTAAAAAGTTTCAATTTTTTTAAATCATTTTGATTATTAATAAAATTAAATTTGTAAATATTTATATTAATTTTATAAATCATATAAAATTGATTGGATTTGCTGAAATTGTAATTTTTTAAATTATTTTAGTTATTAATAAAATTAAATTTATGAATATTTTTGAAAAAAAATAGTCATTGGTTCTTACAATTTAATCAAATTTTATTTTTAATTTTTATAATTTTTATAATATTTTCATCCCCTGTAGTTTTAGAAGGATTAGGTGGCTTTTGTTTTTAAAGTTATTATAGTTTTAATTTTTTTAATGTTTTTAGTTCATATAAAAACTGAAAATATTAAAAAAAATTGTAAAGATTAAAAAAAAACTCAATGAAATTATAGGGATCAAAGATTATGTTTTTTTCAATATTTTTACCAAACTTATAAACTATATAAGATTAATTAGACTTTGCTAATTGAAAAAAATTGTTGATATAAAATTATAATTTCTTAAATTATTTTAATTATTGATAAAATCAAACTCACAAATACTTATATTAATTAAATTTGGTAAATAAAATTAATTGTATATAAGTTTTAAAATAATTTCACAAAGAAATTTAATCACGTTTACTGTCAAATTATCATTTTCGGGGGTTTATTTGTCATTTTGGCCTTGAACAAAATTTTCCCTGGGGAAGATTAGAAGTTTGGCTCCAATAAGGCAATAACATACATATATGCTTCCAGTGGCAGATTCGTCAATATGCGAGCCTCATCCTCCCGCCTTCTTTTCGCCCACACCTTAGACAGTGGCTGAACACCTCGGAATCTCATATACCATTACATTGATTTCGGATTCACACTCAGTTACTCGGAATCGGAAGTCAGAACAGAAGCTCATTGCTTGCTCCTTCTCTTCTTTCCACGAAAGTACGAAGTTTCTGGCCCAGAGACTTCCATGTCGATAACTTGAAAGCTGGAACGAATTTCCAAAATCACCCAAATGGCGACCATTTCCACGTGCTTCACTGTGATACCAAGCTCTAGATTCTACAGCCACTCTCATAATTTATGTAAAGCTTCGTCTTTCGCTAAGCCCCCAAACCTGTTCCCACTCGTGCAAAAACCAATCTTCTTGGGATTTCCCAAAGGGTTGGATTATAGGGTTTTAGCGCCGGTTGCGAGAGCGAGTGTTGATGTGGCCCCAGGGATTAGACCGGGAGGCGTTGTGGAAAGTGATAAATTGCCGTCTGATGTGAGAAAGCGAACGATGGATGCTGTGGATTCGTGTGGAGGGAGGGTGACTATTGGGGATGTGGCAAGCAAGGCTGGGCTCAAGTTGAATGAGGCCCAGAAGGCTCTTCAGGCTCTTGCTGCCGACACCAATGGATTCTTAGAGGTAGTTATCTGGAAGTTTGTGAGGTTACGTCCTGCGAAACGAGCTCTGAGCTCTTGTTTCATTAGGCCTATTTTAAGTTTTTGATCCGTTAGTACAATTGTTCCAAGATGGTATGTTTCAGGTTTCTGAGGAAGGTGATATTTTGTATGTGTTTCCAAAAGATTATCGGTCAAAGCTTGCAGCCAAGTCATTTAAGATTAAAGCTGAACCTTTTCTTGAAAAGGCAAAGGTGTCAGAAATTTTCTCCTTCTCTGTTGACTATTGCTGATGTCTTGCTTCGTGCTTTGGTTATTAATGTTATATAGCATTGCCTTTGACAGGCCACTGGAGAATACTTGATAAGGGTTTCTTTTGGGACAGCACTTATAGCGTCCATTGTTCTTGTTTATACTACAATAATTGCTCTGGTTTCTAGCAGAAGGTACCTGGCGACTTTATCATATGTTGAATGCTTTAAAATTTAGTTTTATTAGTCCCAATTCCTAAGCATGACACGTTTTGATATCTTTTTGTCATTTCAATGCATTAACCATGTTACTTGATTACAGTGATGAGGACAACCGTGGAAGGCGGGGAGGTAGAACATATGATTCAGGAGTCACTTTCTACTTCAATCCAGTAGACCTCTTCTGGTAAAATATTTTATTCTAAATCCTAGGAGTTTTTGAAAAACACATTGCTCAAAGAAAGGCGTGATTGGCTTATTTGATCGAACAATGTGGAGACCACCATATTAATAGTTGCATTTTGGGATGATGAGGGAGGGGTAGGTGGTTTCTCGTTTGTCTTTTAACAATTGTGTTTATAAAAATAATTTAAATAGTTTTGCTTCTTGGCGTATATGATTTTCTGCCAACTGGAATTAAAGAACAAATTTATGGCAGTTTCTCTTTGTATATATGCCTGCTAAAAGGACCCAAAGAGAAAAGGGAAAAGAAAAAGAAGTCAATAGAATAGAAGGTGGAGAAGAGGAAGATAGTGAAAAGAAATTGGTGCTTGTATTACTGTGATACAGTGCAACATAGAAAATTGAGTTCCCCTATTTACCTTTTTATTTCTGAGCTTGCTTGTCTCGTTTAAATTTTGATACCAAAGCTATACAATTTAACACGTTCACTTGTTGATTAAAGAAAACCAGTTCTACAATGTGTAGTTGTAAGTACATTCTTGTTTTTTAGCTTATCTGCTCTTAGGTCTTGTTTGGTATCATCTAGCGAAAGGCAATCCCTTTCTCTTGTACAAAAAATTGACATATTCATTGTTTATTATATCCCTATTATCGTAATGAATAGTAACTATCTTTTTTATTAATTCTTTCATTCAAGGGCACAAAGGACATTTCTCATCCACAAAATCACTTTTTCCCATTCCATTCCATTTTTCATTCCATTTCATTTTGAATACCAACCAGCCCTTAAAAGTGCATTCTAAGATAGGGATAAAGTTCTTGACTCATGATTATAGGAGAATTGATTTATTATGAGATTTTGACACTCCTTTGTGAAATTCTTGCATTTTTCCATGTCTAAGTGTGTTGGTCCTGAAGATAAGGCATGCATTTATTACAGCTGTTTTTTATTAATCCTCTCAATCCATATCATGCGTATATCTATAAATGATTTGTGTAGTTGTAATTGCATTTAACCCAAAAATGATTTTTTGAGATGAATTTTGGTGACATCTATATTTCTATATTCTTTCGAAGGTACTGGGATCCGTATTACTATAGGAGACGAAGGATACAAAATGATCAAGAAAAGATGAACTTCCTTGAATCGGTATGTGATGCAAATGAATCATATTTGTCTTTCATGTTTGTTTCTTGTTCCTCATAAAGAAAAATGTATTTTTATTTGTTTCTCTATAGGTCTTTTCGTTTGTGTTTGGCGATGGTGATCCAAATCAAGGAATTGAAGAAGAGAGGTGGAAGTTGGTAATATTTGAGGACTGAATGTGGTGGTCCGTTGCCTTTAATAAATATTTGCTACTCTAATTCTCTTTGTATATTTTTTGTCTTTTTACAATTTTTTCAAGATTATTCTGTTGTCTCTGCCCCTTATCAAAGTTATACTTCTATTTTTCTTAGAAAAAAATTCGTGGGCTATTTTGTCATCTTTAAAGTGATTAGTTTTGCATTTGAATTTTTCCTTGTTCACCATCTTATTTTAAAACTAATCTACTTGTAAATGTACATCATCATATATTTTCTTATGTGACCTTTGCATCTAACTTTGCCTGATATATGATAATTATTTTGCTGTGCTCATTTTACTTGCAGATTGGCCAATACATAGCATCTAATGGTGGTGTGGTAGCAGCTGAAGAACTTGCACCATACCTTGATGTAGAGTCTACGAAGGAGCTTAAGGTGATTTAGCTTTTCTAACAGTACTAGACACATTTTACCATGCATTGTAAAGAGTCTGAGAAATGAGTTGTACAGTTCATGGTTTATGAACAGCATGGCTTTTATAGAATTTATTTTTTATATTCATATGTTACCTTAACATAGAGTTTACTTTGGCATTATTTAGTTTGTTGTTCTGCTTATAGATTTAGACAATGTGCATTTCTCTGCTCTGGCATTATTTAGGCCATGTTTGGCTTGATGGATTGATTTTGAAATATGGAAGGGCAGATGGAGAAGGAATGAGTATTTGTTTACCGAAAAACAAAAACGAAGAAGGAATGAGTATTTTACCCTCATTTGGTACACAACCTTTGAGCTTCCTAGGAATGTCATTTTCCAATTTCCATCAAAATGATGGAGGGTTCATTCCTTAGGGGCTGCTATGGAAAATTTCAGTTCCTGGGAATGATATTTTTGAAGATTATTCCTAAATCATTTTTCAATATGGCAATTTTGGCTCAATAAATAAAAAATCTATCAGATGAGTTAGACTTCTCAAAAGCATCTTCTCTCCTGTAACAAAGTGGGATGAGCTCAAACAGGATGACGGATGAGGTGGTGACTGTTGGAGTTTTGAACGTGGCTATGAGTTCATCTTCATACTCTCCTTACCTCATCACTCTCCTCTTCTTTGGCAAGTAGCAGCAGCCTCTATGACAGCCACCACCTCTGTCACTCAAATGTGTTGACACTTGAAGCTCTTGACGATTCGGTTCCACCATTGCTCTCCTCTCATTGTCCTCTCTCTCTCTCTCTATACACACACACACACACACACACAAGCTCTCAATTATTTGAGGTGGTGGTTGCTGGCTCCTTCCTTTTCCTTTGATGGTTGCTATCATTTCTTTTCTTTTTTTTTTCCTGCATATATTGGTTTCATAATTCTTGGCTTGTTTGATTGGATTTGTATTAGACCTCTTTATCTCTTGATTATGTTTTTGGTTGGATTGCTGAATCTGATTTGCGGTAGCTGGTAGAATATTGTTGATGATGAAGAAACGTGTAAGAAAAAAGAAAGTATGGAAGAAATAGGTTAAAACCTCTCATTCCATTATTAAAATACACATACCAAACAAAAATCATCCCAAGATTCTGTTCATTTTTTCTGACGTATCAAATATACATTTAAAGCTCCATTCTGTTCTTGTGCCCATTCCTATTCCTTTTTCTATTCCCATTCCATCGAAAAAATCCTTCCTGCATACCAAATGGGCTGTAGTGAGAACTTCTAAAAAGGAGTTGAAAGCATTAAAGATCTGTGAGATTTTGTTGGTTATTATTTGACCATTTCTCTAATTTCTTTTTCCTGAATCATCAATGCATATAGAAAAAAAAAATTTCTCTATTTTTTACCCTGCTAATCTTCAAATTACATGCTTAAATTCCAAATTGTGTCCTCTTTAATTAGTGTTGATGCTATATTTATAATCTCGTTACAAGTAATCAAAGTTAAAACAAAATGTTTCTTAAGTAATGGTCAAGGTTACTTGTATGTAATTTATGAATGTTGGTGCTTTTATGCTTTTTTAGTTTATAAATTTTATTTTAATCCCATGTCCTTATTAGCGTACTTGAGGCTTTTGAACACCATGTGTTTTTTTTTCCCCCTCCTGTTAGATTTGGCTAACTTTACTCGTGAACTGCACATGGCACATTTCAACTTGATCAACTGAGCTTAGTTTGCATTGAAGGTGGCAAATGTCTCATTTAATTATATTTCATTTGGAAGATAATTTAAGGCAATGCAGAAATGGTTTAGTGTTTACTCTATTTTATTATTTCTTGCTCTGTTGTTTGTCCTGTACATTATGTTGATATTGATTCAAGAATGATAAAACATTTTTCTTTTCGTAATTTAAATTTGGTGTATTTTCTCCTTGCCCTGCTGTTTGACCGTTGATCCTTGAATGAATGCAGGAAGATGAGTCCTATATCTTACCTGTTCTTTTGCGATTTGAAGGTCAGCCTGAAATTGATGAAGAGGTATATTGGTAAAATGTAATGGTTTAAATTAAAACCTAAACTTGTTCATTTTTCTTCCTCCTTGCTTTCCTAATGATTTTTTAAAGAATGCTCCATGTGGCCTCCCTTCTCCATTTGGTATAGTTTGCTCATCTAGCGAATAAGGATATGATTAAACATTATGATTCTTAGATAATTATGTTTTTCTCTCAAGCACAGTGCCTTCTACAACCCACTAGAATATAGAACTTCAGGGAATGAATTTCGTTTTCTTTTTTGTTTTTTTTTTTTATTTACTTGCAGAATCATTGTTGTGCAGGGAAATATTCTATATAGGTTTCCATCTCTGCAACGGACTGCTTCTTCACAGCGCAGTAGGCAGAAAGAATATATGGGAAGAAAATGGGCTGAGTGGGTTGGAGGCATTGAAAAGTTTTTCAAAGAGAACAAATGGCAATTCAGGTTCTACATTGCATTTGTTGTGACCTATTGGTGTCCCACTTATATTAAATTATACAACAAGAACAACAACAAGCAGCCTTATCCCACCAGGTGGTCTTAATTATAACATGGATAAATCTTCTTTTGCAGTAAAACCAGTGCATCAGAAAGGGCAATGGTCATAGGCCTGGGTGGTCTTAATCTGTTTGGGGTTATTATTCTCGGAACCATGTTGAAGTATGCTCTTGACATGATTTATTTTTAAGTTATTTTCCTCTTGTATCAGACTTTCAGTGTCCTGACTTGGGGCTTTTCTTATGTCCAAAGAGAAATGACGGTTGCACCTAGTGGCTTCATTAAATTTGTAGCCGACATGTATCCTCTTCTTCAGGTATGACTAAAACTTTTGTTTTATACAATCAAGTTAGTTCTTGGTCAAAATACTTGGGGCTTATTCATGGCGTAAAATCATTAGTTTAATAAAATAATTACAAGAATCTATAATTGCATTATTAAAAATCACAATAATAAATTAAGTGATTAATATATATCATATATAAGTTTCTTATTCATGAAAGTATGAAATAAATATTTATGAGGCAGAACTAACTGGTACACAAGAAATGAACATTTATTAAAATTAAATTATCATTTACTTCATTTTATGAAAAAATAGAAGTTAAACTATTTGATCAAAATATTTTAATTGATAAACGAAAAGCATACTAACACTTCACAGAATAATGAATTTTAATTATTAATTGCATGTAAATTCCTTTGTATTGATTGTTAACTAAAAATCATAAACAGTAAAATAATAAATAACAAATAAAAAAAATAGGGAACACAATATCATAGTGCCACTTTTTGTGAATGGTAGTCAAGCGATAATTTGAGAAACTAAAAGGCAAAAACGAAATAGATGAAAGAGGGAGGCCTGTATAAAAAAACTTGAGAAGTCGGAGAAGCTTTTGTTTAAATGGCTTCAGTCATGGATTTGACTCTGATAAGAAAGAGATAACAAGGAACTTGTAGGAAGCTAATATCAATGATACAACCATTTACAAACAGTTTAGAATCTTGCAATTTCACCATAAATTTACAACTTTAGGCCAGTTAATTCAAGTTTAATGATTTTTGTTTTCATGTTACAAGTTAGCCAGTTATAAATATTGGCAACCATAAAACTGTCTGAGTCCAGGACTTGAAACGTGATGTTAACAACATTGGAAAAGAGGGTTGATATTTGATAGAAATTATGTGTAATTTGATTGATTAATTCTTCTCAGTTGTTCTGCTTATAGTGTGAATTCTTGTTTTTATAGTAACCAAACATGAAAAATAACTTTTCCGTAAAATGTGTATTGAATGATTAATATTTTCAGATTTATGCTGGTTCTTTCTTTGCAATTCCCCTGGTTAGATGGTTCTTTATTCACAAGTGGAATGGTGACATTGAAAAGAGAAACCAAGCTAGGCTGCAGTGTGCACGAGTACTTGAATTGCCTGACATTTCATTGAGGAGGAAGGTACCCATACTTGTGTTTATTTATGATTCCTTTTGTAGTATGGACTGCTGTCTCTAATTATACTGGCATAGTTTAATTGTTGGCACCTTTGGTTTGATGGTTCTTCATAGTTTTTGTTTTCTCTCAATTCTTCTCATCACCTGTGCTGCTTTTGTGTATCAATCTGTGTTGGGCTGTGCTAAAGTAATTCCTTTTCAGCTTCGACCGTTTGCATCAAACTGTAATTCCATAGTATAATGTCTTTCATCATTAATTTTTTTTGGCCAAGTCTTTGATAAATATTTGGATGTGTTATATATACAAAAGGAAACTTATGACCACAGTGCGCAAGGATAAAACACTCGTACTGCAGACATCCTGGAGAAAAGAGAAGAAAATTGAAATTATGTTCTTTAAGAATGAAAAGTTTATAGACAGGATGGAGGATAAGACATCCAAGGTAGTTTGTTAGTGATACTACCTGAAAAGTGCCCCAAGTACTTATTTTGATTAATCTATTTTGGAAGTGGTTTCGTTCAATGCTAATCTTTAATCATAAAGCACTAAATATTTTGAAATTTATAATGGAAAGAGATTCATCTATTTCATTAAATGCATTCCATCTGGTTTCCTTATTGTGGATTTGTTTTGTTGGGTGCTGCTTCTGATTTGAGCTCATCTGATAGGTGTATCTGTGTGGCCTGCTGGGTTATGCTATTATGTGCCTTTGCTTCCTCTTTTCGCATTAGAAATTTTAATTATAAAGACATATTACAATATAGCCAACCCTACCTAATGGGATAAGACTGCTTGTTGTGGGATATATTAAAGTAATTTAAGTTTAAAGTAAGTTCTTTTTACTTTTACTATATGGCAAACTTCATCTTGTAATTTTAATTTGGGTTGTTTATCCCTGGAGCTTAAACGTGACAAATATTACAAGCTATTTGCCAAGTCAAGGAATTTAGTTAATTTAATAGAATTAGATGTTGCCTTACGTGCAAAAGGTTATTTATGTATGGATTACTCAGTATAATCCTCCTGAGACACTCAGTCTCTCCTTGATGGCTTTCAGCTTGTCAATGCCCGGGACATGGCCCAAAAGAAAGTCATTGGACAGGATCAAATTTTGTACCGTACTGACAAAGACTTAGTTGAGCAAGAGTTTGAGGCTCGTGATTGGGACAAAAGATTTGGGGATCTGGAGAGATCTGATTGATCAGGGTCAACTTTTGTATTGGTAAACTCGTAATTTATTCCTTTATCTAAGTACTTTGAACAGCCAAATTTCATCAGATAAATGGATAGCTTTTCGTGCAATATTTTGACATCCCTTTAGGTTGGCATTGACTGTATGGACCTTGTTTATTATAAATAAGAAAAGAATTAAGAGTTAGTTAGGATTTAAATAGATTTAGGTATGAATTATGATTTAAATAGGATTTAATTGTTAGTTCGGATTTTAAATGTTAACCTCATATTAGTATGATTAGGTAGATTAGAATATCTATTAAGAATAGGATGCCTATAAATATAAGGGCAGTAATGTACCTGATTTATGATTCGGATTCTAATAAGATTGCTTATTCCAGATTCTCTCTATTATCTATCTCTCTGGTTCCTTTCTCTCTCTTTCCAATCTAAATTCTATAACAGAACTTCTCTCTATCTGTTAAAAATACACCGAATAAATCCTTATATAAAGTAATACTAAATGACATCATAACATGCTTATTTATTATATCTTGTTGCTTCAAGCATTACTTTTGATGGGTTGAGATTGAGGGTGAAGCTGTGCATATTTTCTGACTTTGAGAGTAAGTATTGTTAGTGGAGGGTGTCTTTGTTATCTGACCACAAAATTTGGCCGTTCAACTCGTTTTATTCTGACGTCAAAGTAGTTCTGTTAAGCTGAATTTTAAAAAAGGCTAAATTGTAGCAGATTTTTATAAGAGAGGTCCATATAATAAATACCAAATAGGCGTTAAAGTAGTTTGATTTTTAACACAGCTACTGCCCAATATGAATGCATTTATGTTATTTTGGTGACATTTGCGTCATAATGACTGTTGATAGCTGGATTGAGTTTCAGGCCATGAGCACACGTTTCCGCCCGCTGCCTATATATAATCGTTTGCCTAGTTTGGAAGTATTATATATGTTTCTGGGGAATTTGCAGTAGAGGCTCTACTGCTGCAACCATTTATGCCGATGGCTATTAAGATAAGGCAAAGATGCTCGCAGAATCTGTAGAATCCGATGAGAATGAACAAACGACATGAACTTTTTCCAAATTTTTTTTACGAAAATTTCTGCAGGACGGACCAATAAATATATATACCTTTGAGTAGGCGTGGCCTTTTCGTGGTATCTTGTGATCTTGCAGAGTAAGGTGTTATTAATGCTTCGAGCTTGAATACAGTCATTGTATCATCCGGCAATGAGGCGTGAAAGTTCTCATTATAAAGGTGTTTTTTTTTTTTTAAGAAAAATGGTGAAACAAACTTTGTTTTGTATGCATAGTTGCATATTTTCTTGGTATGGGATGGTTTTATCATTACTTAATGGTCTCTTAAGTTTCTGTTTGCACCTTGCTGCCTATCAAAATATAAAGTATTAGTAATTAATTCATGGTTCTCAAAAAATATTAGTTGAAAGTTCAAACCTTAGTGTTTTTTTTTTTTTTAAATTATATCTTTTCAATTTTATTTTCATTAAATATTTTATATAAGTGTTTTGATAATGATAATTAAAATTTAAATGGATTGTTTTTTTCAAAAGGAGTATTACATAATGTAGAGGTTTGGATGGAATCCAAATTATAAAAGTTATTTAATGTTCTCTATTTTAGATTAAATAAGACTTTTAAAACATATTATATATTGTAGTTAAGAAGGAATATGTTAGTAAATTTTACCTTGTGTTTATGCCGTTTGCTTTCTTTTTATTTTTAATGATGCAATTGATACTGATATAGGATTAATGATGTAATTGATTTTTTATGGTAAAAAGGAAAATATATTAATAAATAAAAAAAAGTAGTGACGATGATAATGTTAAAACAAAATTAACAAAACTGTTAGAAATAGATAAAACAAGGAAAAATAAAAATATCAAGACCTTTCTTTTGAATTATGCAGCTATTAAAATCTTGCAAGAGTCTAATGACATCCTAATTGAATAGATGATTACATGTATGATAGAATTATGTTACCTTTTTGTACCAAACACGTGAAGTTCATAAATCTGACCAATTTTGGAAGAATTTTTGAGAGAAATTTTGAATCCAAACTAAGAGAACCTGTAAATAGAAAGTCAGGAGAAGTCGAGGAAATTTGGTTTTAAACTTGCAGAAAATCATCTCAATACAATCCTCATAATCATTTAGAGACAAGTGAACAAAACAATGGCTTTTTTTCATTTCTTAAATAAGTGAAGCTTGATATTCAAAAAGGAAGATTTGGTTGAATATGAGGGCAAAGCAAGTTAGGTATTGATCTTTTCTCTTGAATTTTGTGGCACTGGGTTATTTTAGTGTTGTGAATGTTCTTCCAATTGCATGCATTGGTGAGAAAAATATATTGTCCTTAAAATTAATGAATAACTTGATTCACAAGAGTGATTTGTTGTATGTAAAGCTTGATTCTTGTGTAACCATATCAAGTAAATAAAAATATATATATATTTTTCAAGAATTGATCTCATTGATTGTGATGAAGTTCACAAGAAATATGCAAGATTTAAGAAATAAATCCCCTATTTAACAAATTTGAAGAGCGCAAAGACATAAAGCCAAACCAAATAGCTCTAGCTCTAATGTAAGGACAATCACAAAGGATGTGATTGAGAGTTTCTGGAGAATAACAAATAAAGACAAAGTGTAGATTGAAATTGAGATGATGATTTCACAAGATATTCCATGTAAGAATAGCCTTATAAACTGACTTCCAACTGAAAATGAGAGTTTTGAAAGGAAGGCAAAGTTTCCAAATGAAGCTCCAAATGCCTTCTTTAGATAGAGCATCATCCTAAGTCAAAGTTGGCATCCTTTGAAAGCCCTCCTTGATAGTGTAAATATCAGGTCCCCAAATAAGAGAGTCTTTCAAATTACTAAAAGAGATAGGAGTCTTCAAGATCAAATTTGCATCTTCCCTAGTTTAAAGTTTGTGAATGAGAGAAGAATTCCACTTAGCCATTATCTAAGAGGATGGGTTTGCAATGATTAAGTCAAAGACCTTCGAAATATGAAGCTTTCTAGCTAGATCTCAACTGCTTAGCTTCTACCAGCACTCGTGAGAGAAAGAAATAGATTTTCCACTACCAACATGCTAAAAAAGATGCTTTTTGATAAGATTAGAAGCTTTAAAAATACACTTCCAAAACCAAGAGGCATTATGAGGAATTTCAAACAAAAGCCCCTTGGAATTCTCAAAATATTTGATTTTGATTGTGTTTGTCTAGAAGAGAATGCTCCTCAGCATCAAGCACTCTCCAAATTTGCTTGGCTAAGTGTGCTGTATCATGTTTTTAATGTTCCTTAAGCCAAGACCACCTTCTTTGGTAGGTGAAAAAGGAATTTCCCTTCTGGCAAGACGAATATTTTTCTCACTATCATTGTACCCCTAAAAAAGTCATTGAGTTTTGCATCAATGATATCACAAAAATGATTAGGAAGCTTAACACAGGAGAGAGTGTAAATCTTAGATGCAGAGAGAACCGATTTGATGAGAGTTAGTCTAGATCCTTGAGAAAGAAATTTTAGTTTCTAAGAAGCAATTCTTTTTTCAATGGATTCTGTAATCTGGGAAAAGATTAAAGATTTATCTCGCTTAGCGTCAATCCAAGTACCCAGATATTTACCAAAAGAATCAACTAGTCAAATGCCGAAGAAGTCAGCAATCTCTTGCTTGAATTCCAAAGGACAGTTTGGACTGAGGAGCGAGGAAGATTTCTAAACGTTGATCGAGAGGCTTGACCAGTTGCAAAAATTACAAATGACTTCATTTATTGCTTGAATTCCATTTCTAGTAATCTCAAAGAAGATTGTTGAGTCATTTGCATACAGTAAATGAGAAATGTGATAGGAATTTTGGCAAATCTTGATTCCATGAAAGTAATCTTCTTGTTCCTTTTGAATAAGACAGGACAGCACATTAGTAGCAATAACGTAGATGTAGGGAGAAAGAGGATCTCCATGTCTAATTCCACTTGATGGGTAGATAGGATTTGAGACCCTGCCATGAAAAAATTATTTGAAAATCAACTGTTGAGATGCATTGCATAATCAAATGGATATATCCATTTGGTAGGGAAGTTCATCCTTCATAACACAGCTTCAATAAAAAAACCAAGAGAGTTTGTCAAACGCCTTAGAGAAGTCAAGTTTAAGGGCATCAAATTTTTCCCTTTTTCCTTTTGTGGTGGGAATTTGATGAACCAAATCAACGACTACCAAGATATTATCATAAATGAGCCTGCTTGGAAGATAAGTACTTTGAAGGGGAGAAATTGACCTTGGAAGGACAGTCTTGAATATGTTACTCAAAACCTTTGAAATGATTGACGTAATTGATGTTTTTATGATGAGTATGGTTTCTTGAATGAAAGAATTGAAAATTTAGATTTTAGCACGAGTCTTGCAAACAAAACGTCAAGCTAACTAACACGAATTCTACAGCTTGAAGTGGCTTTAAAAGTATTGTATGGTCATGACTTCCTTTCTGATCTTCTAATATTTACTCATAGAAGTCATAAGAGGTGTGATTCCATCTTATTCCATAATTTTCTTTTGGAAAAAAAAAAAAACCAGTTGTCTAGCTGTTTAGAAGATGTTTTTCGGTAGCTACACAATTCACGGCAAATCATTTTAGGAAATCATTTGGCTATAACACTTTTGCAGAATGCTTTTTTTTTTTTTAACGGGTTTTCCTGTTCAACCATAGATTTTAAAACCTTTCAACTTACTGATTAGCTGCTATTCTGGCCAAAAGAATCAACATATGTATCTTTTCCCTGTGCATTATAAGCTGCCACCATCTTTCTTTTAAATATCATGAGCTCCTCCTCTTTCATCTTGCATTCATCACATTCTTGAAACCCTTCAAATTCAAAATTCCATCTTCAATTGCCTTTCATAATTTTTATACTTGAAGAAAATCAAATTCTACGATGAAGAACCCAAATTCCCCAGTAAGCTACATAATGCTAGAGGAACAAGATGGTAACGGTGCAAGTTTTTTTTTAATGGTATGTGGCTGTTTCCTGATTCTACTCTGAGAAGTCACCATATAAGTCCTCTTAAGAAGAGGAGGAAAATTCAGGAGTGGCTGACTACTTACAACTGGATGTTGGGACTTTACACGTCTAGCTGGACTGGTTTCTAGTGAAGTGTTACAACGATTAATAACAGTTACATTGTTCCTCCTATGTGGTACCTTGAAGATGATATCATGGTTTGGAATGGTAATGTCTCGGGAGAGTTTTCCATTAAAAGTGCTTATTACATGATGAAGAGAATTCTAGTTCGTCACATAATGCTACTTTCAAATCTATTTAGAAATGGAATGGAGCAGAACAGATTAGATTCTTTATTTGGCTTGTGCGTTTGAAAATAAATGGCTTAAAATGTATTTTCTCTCTAAACTTTCCTTCGAGAAGCACTAAGCACCTTATACTGATAAGTGGGGTGCTCTCCCCTCCCAAAAATTATTTTCTAGAGGAGCAAAATTTCCCCTCCATAATTTAGCCATAAACTCAAATGTTATATGATGACGTGGCAATGACAACTAAGATCTAACCCCTTGTTGACCCTCCTACATGGCATCCCCATTCTCTTCCTCACTCTCTCTTACACATCATATTAAACCTTCCCCACTTCTTCCTTCCTTCATCAATGGTAGAGAAGTGTCGATTTGCCGCTACCACTGGGTCAAATGATGCTGAGGATCACTGTAACATCCCAAACTCTTACTCTCTAAGTTGATTAAATTAATAATATTTTAATAGAATTTAAGGATATTTCTATACATTGAACAATGATTTTATAATCAATTAGAGCTTGGAAGAAAACAAAAAAAAAAAAGAGTCATCTTTGTAATCAAATATTTTTCAAGGGAAATGATAATATTTTTGAGTAATTCTTTTTGTATTAGAAAGTAAATACCTCAAGCTTTTCAAAGTTCTAATTCACAATTTTTGAAGATATGTGAAATTAATTATGAATTTTTAAAGTTGCACCAGTGAAACTGTACCATTGACCGTAGCAAACAGCATGTTTTCATATTTAAATTTTATTTCATGAAACAAAACAACAAAGGTGAGTTTTTGATCGGGTTTGGATGATTTTTGAAGAGCTCTACTAGATTTTTGTGAAAGATATGTATTGAACATGTTTTTGGGCCTATAATCATCAAGGTAACCTTCCATAATCCCTTCTCTACATTATAAACCTCTCTTTAAGCTAGTTTATGTAGAGATTTTGTTTTTTAGGATGCCCAACCCTTAGGTCTGAATAATAATGCTTGTTTGAAGTTAAATAAGTATTATTTAAGTTGTTTTGAT